GGGCAAGAATCTAATTTTGTTTATCATTTATTTCCTTAACTTCATACAACTCTATTCAAATCAAACTTAATTATCTAAAGTTAAGTGTCTCGACAACGAATTGCCAACTATTCCGAAATCATTTTTCAATAGATTCTATACAAATATCACAAAAGCAGAACTTTTTATTATTTATGCAATTCATTGACTATGAATACTTATTTTTGTTGTTTAAAATCGATATTTTATCATGAGTTAGGAATTTTTGAATTTTGTTTTGAACAAATACCTTATAAGAAATACATTCGATCTAGTCATTTTCTTCAAATACTATGTACATTTAATAGTTCAAACAATAAAACAGAATATGAACAGATAAGATATTGATGAGAAGAGAAACAAATAGAATTTCTCATTCTTATTTCACGTCATAAGTATTTGTTTTTGATTTTGCAATAGAAAACAAAAACAAAAAGAATTGTCGTTCACCATTACCAGTTACAATTTTAACACATATAGAAATTACAGAGAAACTCATAGTCTATTCATCAGTTTAACTTCTATAGAAGAAATAATCTAGCGTATTGTAAAAAATTATAGAATCACTTGCCGACTTTGAATTCTCTCGAATTTTATTCTTGATCAAGGGTGTAGGTGGATGTGGGTGTTGACCTGCACTTCACCCACCCGACATCCACACACCACATCCAGATCCATCCACATCCACACCCACACACACCAACACCTGTCGTCTTCTATTCACCTACACCCACACCTTCGAGGGAATAACAAGGGGGAACAAACTGATTTCTTTATTTCTGTGATTTCCGTGATTTCTAATGATTTCCAATGATTTCTGATGATTCCTATGACTAAAAATCAGTTTTTCTATATTTACCGTGAATCGATAGGAATTATAGAAAATGCTTAAAAACAAAGGGAAATCACTAGAAATCATCAAAAGTTAAGAGCAACCACATGACATTTTGACAAACATTTAAAATAAAAAAAAATCAAAGAAATCACCGGAAATTACTAGAAATTAGGGCTCTATTTTTAACTTTACTAGTAGAAGGTCTGCATGATTAAAATTGATTGCTGATGATTTCTGCGTTTTCTAATAGCTCTTGATGATTTGCAACATTTTTTAACGACTTCTGCTCAGTATTTCTATTCTTAAGGTTTGAAAGTGATTTCTAGTGATCTCCAGTGATTTCCAATGATTTCTAGGCACAGAAATCACTTTGTTCCCCCTTGGGAAATAATCATAATAACTGTAATAGTAACAACAACTTTAATTATGATCAAACAAAAATATTGCAGGAAGCACTTGAATTGCAGCTGAAAATCATTTTACAACCTCTGAAATTTGAATGTGAACCAAAAATTAATGAACAGAAGATAGATGCTGAATTTATTCAAGATTTCATAAAATACATTTTCAATGATTTTTCAAAACAAAATCCTACGTATAACAAACCAATTGACTTCGATATATGGTGGGTTGATAAAGATGGACATATACAAACTTTAGTAAACAATATAGATCTGTACGTTTATCTATGTAAAGAAGGAACATATCCAAAACAATTAAATAATATAAAAATTATTCCACATGCACCAAAGCATTTACCACCACAAAGATCAATAATAATGAAATGAATAAGAAATACAATATCTTTTCATGAATTAAAAAATGAGTTAGGTGTGGGTATGGCTGTAAGTGTGACTGTGGAGTGTGCGTGTGAAATATTGAGAAAAAGTAGATCCATACCCACACCTACACCCTCAGTTTCTCTGTCGAAGTGTGTTCGCCTCGAATAATAAGTTTTCGTGAGTCAATTGCTTGGCAGCTATGCATAGATCATCGTTCTCTAATTTATTTCGTAAGATTTCTCAGCAGAACGATCAAAATAAATTATAATGGACGAATTTCCATTCAGAGTCCTTTTTTTTGTGAAACTTGATCGGTAGAGAGTGTTAAAGTATAGAGCGAGAAAAGTGACCCCCCTGCCTAGGCCCGCCCCACAGACTGCGACAGACAGATACAATTCCCAGATTGTGGCAGACAGGTGGTCATGTTATTTTGTATGTTTGAACCTTGGATTTCTGGAGTTTGAAACTATCTTTGGATTCTGAATCCAGCGGAAATATCGTAGTTCAAAAATCTATTTTTCGCTCCCGTTATGCGGCATGTTATTCCCTGTCATAGACCATCACAGATAGTTGGAGATGATGCTCTCTTAAGTTTGCGTCGGATCGTGAAGAATATAGCAAGCGTTTTCATATCTATGTGAAGCAGCTCCATCGTGTTTCACATTTCAATCCCATAGGGATTGCGCTGAAAGTGTTTTTGAACATGTACCAAACTTTCGGTGTATTTCTAGGCGTGCTCACTGTTTTTAGATGAGAGTGAGGATGTATTTAAAAATGAACAAGGAACTTCTTTTGTTGGTGCAGGGCAATGCATCGATGTGCATGCAGTGCAATGTCACTAATCTCTCTCGTTCGAATCTTATTGTAATGGATCGAGACCAAATCTTAGACTTTGAGAGAAACAAGAGAATCCGAATTTTTCTAAAAGCAGATGCTAACCACAGGTTATCTTTCCAAGTCGTGTAATTATCTCTCTCAAGTTTTCCGACAATATCCTAGGGAAATGCTTCTTTTAAAATCATTCGAATGTAGGATTTTTCTACAATAATTCTTGAAAATTCTTCACCACGATAAACGATTCACCTATCATCATTAACTTCGCTCGAAAAGCCAAATGCAATATGATTTTAATGAGTACGGAGGAAGAAAAAGTAATTGAGTTGTTTTTATTCTTCTTAATCAAAGAGAAGATAAAAACAGTTTCGTAGTGTGAAAGTTCTCAAAATTCTCTTCTCTTTGTTTTTATCGAAACATGAAGTCAGCGGTAGGTTATCATTTGCCCCAAATTGTTGTTCCCTGAATTAACCCCCGAATCATATCCGCATTTGGGGATAATAAAACGATTAAGATCAATTCTGGTCACCAAATGGGGATTTTAATTTTGGGGATTTTTTTATCATAAGATACACCACTATCTATGCTGTAATTCAATAGCATGTTGCTTCTCGTACTATATAGTTTCAACGAATGTCTGTCATTGATAGGTTATCATTTACCCTAAATCTGGTTACCACAAATGCATCCCTAAATAACATCCACATTTGTGGATAATGAAATCGAAAAAAGTTAAAACTGGTAATTAAGCAGGGGTTTTGATTTGGGAATTTTTTAATTTAGGGATTTTTGTTCAAATATAATACAAGAAAAATTCTGGTTTCCTAGATCACTATCTACATCATGTTCACCTATGTGCGTAATTAGGCAATTAACACAGTTCTGGTGACCAGTTACAGTTCTTTTCCGAACAACTGTTGACCAGTCCGAGTTCTTGGGTCTAGTTTAGTTTAATCGCACTTCACGGTGATTGATGTAATTTATATACACACACAGCGCTGCATGTCTGTGAAGGCGCTGTGACTAAGGTGATTAAACTAAACAAATATCGAGTTCTTTTCAAAGGAACTCAGAACAAGCTTCCACTATTTAGAGTTTTTTCAAAAGAAGTAAAGTGAGTTCTCGAAAGAACTGGTGACCAGATACGTTGAAGAGAACTTGAACTGGTCACCAGAACTGTGTTAATTGTCTAATTACGCACACACGTGAACATGATGTAGATAGTAATTCTAGGAAATCAGAATTTTTCTTGTATTATATTTGAAAAAAAAATCCCCAAATCAAAACCCCTGCTTAATTACCAGTTTTCATACATAGTGTATCTTATGATAAAAAATTTCCCAAAATTAAAATCCCCATTTGGTGACCAGAATTAATCGTAATTGTTTTATTATCCTCAAATGGGGATATGATTTGGGGGTTAATTCAGGGGACAACAATTTGGGACAAATGATAGGCATTCTTCGAAACTCAGTTTTTTTAATGTTCCTGAGAAGGACTACAGCTGTCTGTTTAAAAATACCATGAAAATACAATATCTCGGCAGCAATAAACTAGCAGCACGAATCCTTTTCAGAGTATCTATAACTGATTAGGACCTACATTATACACATACTCACGACTTGAAAGCGATTTGACAGTTGGAAAAGTTCCCTCGTGAGAGCAAAGTACTTTCGAAAAATCTAGAATAAACAGTTTTGAGTTGAAATATTGTCTATAGGCAAATTCGACGGTCTTGAAAGTGTCAACGAAAATAAACATGTCTCTTTCGGGTTATTCAATTTCCAACAAAACTACCGATTAACTATAGAAGGCACAGCAACCGATGAATATCTCAAGAAAGATATGTTGATTTTCGCGGAACATTTCAGGATTATCCAATGACCATAAAATCTAACTATAGACAAAATTTCATATCAAAACTATTTGCTTTAGGTTTTTCGAATATACTTTACTCTTCGTAAACATTTCATCAAAATAGTCATAACTTTTCGTTAGTAGGCCATTGGCATGAATCCTTTTATTTTAGTTCTACAGAAATCTACACGTAGGCATAATATAAAGTCGAACAACATCCGACCACTAGATATGTTTCCTCGTAAGAGAATTCTATTAACAAGTATTGATATGTTTCTAATGAATATTATTGATTGATCGCTTGATTCATCATCTATAAATTCACTTGTTGCAAGAGAATCATGGCTAACTTTTGTTGCTGTCCTCGTTTTAATTATCTCGAGGTTTGAAAAATAGACAGTTGCTTTTGTAAGTAGTGTTCTGTACGAAAATGGATGATATCGATTCAACTTCAATATTTTCATTTCGCATTTGAATGTATATTGTGTACTTTTTCATGCTTATATCGAAGCAAAAAAACATTCGTGTCGATCCACATCGATGCTTTGCTTCGTACTGTATTAAAAAAATCTTTTCATCTCTCGACAAGTAATATTAGTTGCACATTCATCTATATGCCTATGCATGTTAAATAATCAAATATATTTCTTTTCTCTAGACGAAGCTGTGCTTGTTGGTCGTAATAATCTTCGTTTAGCAACAGAACAACATGCTCAAACAACTAAATCTAATACTCTTTCAGCATCAATTATAAATACAGTAAATAAAATACATAATGCTTCTCATCGCACGATCAAGTAGCTGGAGTTATAATTCGTCCATTTCCAAAAATAAAACGCTTATTAAATAATCCAACATGTTTACTACATATTGTACAATTATTATTAATATTTGATCCAAGTTTAGTTGAAAAAATTGTTATATTACTTAATAAGCTTGTACAAGATAATCCATTATTACCACAATTTTATATGACTGGTGTATTTTATTTTATATTAATGTATACTGGTTCAAATATTTTACCTGTAAAACATTTTTTAAAATATACATATTTAGCACAAGCATTTCGTTCAGATGAACAACAACAACAATCGGGTGAAAAAAAAGATATTTATTTTCGTTCTATACTTAGTCATTTATTACTTGAAGCAATAATTTGTTATTTAGAAAATCAGAGACTAGAAAAATTTGCACGAATGTTTCTTGGTAAATATTTAAACAAAAAAAAGATTTCGTTTGCATTTATTTGAATATTTAGGTGAATTTGATCAACCGGAAACAATTTGGTCAAATGAAATGCGTCGTTTAATGATTGAAAAAATTGCTGTTTATTTTGGTAAAATACAATTTTTTTACTGCCTAAATAAATTTTTTCATGGATTTCAGCTGATTATACTCCACGTTTAATGTCAAATATTTCAGCTATTTATTCATATTGTACAATATCAATAATTAATTATCCACAATTAGAAAATGAATTATTTTGTAATACATATTATTGACGTCATTTATGTGATGAACAAAAATTTCCTGAATGGCCTATACATGATGCAATTGCATTACTTAAAGATTGTTTAAATATATGGAAAGCAGCATTAGGAAAAAAAGGAAATGATATGAATGTTGATGAAGCTTGTCAAGTACTTGGTAAATATACTAATAGTTAACATATTGTTTTATGAGGAAATTATAGAGATATATAAATTAGGAAAGTTCACTTTTTTTACTGATTGCGTTAATATTTTGAATTACTTTATATCATCGTATGGAATATAAATCAAAAAATAGATCTAACGATTTTTCTTAAGTTGTATACTGAGGTATTTGGTGGTCTAACTTTCGTAAACAAAAAAGCGATTCATCTGATTTCTAGAAAGTCATATTTCGAATGCTGTAATACATGATTAACATATGGCTTTTGAACTCAGATTTGATTACAAAACATTTGAATGAAGGAATCTCAAGTTAAAACTTACATATTATTGCCGTAACTAATTTAGATACACAATACATTAGATCAATTTATTAGTTGAAACCTAAAAACCAATATCATCATCCGACTAAGTATGGAGAATTATCCCTGTATAGATGCTTTTCCAGGTAATCCCAAATCAATTACCTGAAATTGGAGATCTCAGAAAAAGTCAAATAACATTTGAACGAAACAATCTAAAAATCTCGACCTTGCATAGATTGAAAGAGAACAATTTTTTCTATAGAATGATTATATTAACAATCAAGGTCAATTGAGAAATGGATCCAGAATATCGTTTTTAAAATGTCTACTAAGTATGAATCAGATTGATTCATTGTTAAGCAATTGTACTTCAGTACATATATGTGCGTCTGCGTCAGATATTTCTCTGTCCAGTGGTAGAGAATCATCTGGCTATAACAACCTCCAAAGAGTTTCCTCTTTTCTTGAGTTTTCATCAAAATAGTGTATATATGACATAAAGCACGGATTGAATTGATGTGTTTGTTCTAAAGATTAAAAACGAATGGAATAGATAATTTTTAGTTATGTTCAACATGTGGTAGAATACAATTTGAATAAAAGTTTTGTTTGATCGAATATTTTATAATTATGACTAAAGTATAATTGCTTTTACTGTAGATTTTTCTTAACAAATACAACGATATAAAAATCAATCGTTTTATTCTTGATCGGTGAATGTCATGAACTGCTTTTTTATGATCAACTCTAAAAGTAGCTTATCTCTTCACATAGATCTATAAGATACATAAGTTGATTTAATAGGAGATAGGTGAAGAAAAAGAGTTTCATTTGAGAAGAATCATAATCATTCATTGCAATAATAAAATTGACATCTTAAGAAACGATATCTTACATGAGTTAAGACTCATCTAATGCTTAATATGTGAAGCCGTTTCAGTTATCAATATTTGAAAAAAAAAGTTCTTGGATAACGAGTAATCCTTTTTACTATTTATGCGCCGTGTTTTACTTAAGAATTTATTCCCATCATTTCCGGTATCATAGAGTCACTTCTTTTTTCGTGAACTTATTCTATTGAGATTTTAATTATACATGTGGTTCATTATCTATGATTAGTTGTAGCTGTCAACAACTGTCATATATAAAGTCATATGTTTAAAATTCATTTTAATTAATTCAAATTTTGAGAAAAACAAAGCGGACAAAATTTGTACTTTTTGTCAGGATTACTTTTAATAAATAAAGCCTCCAATGAAATGCCAGAAAATGTATAATATCAGTTGAATTATGAAATTTTATTTTCATTTTCGAACGAGTATATGCACAAATTTGTAATGTATTGATCATTCAATCATTATTAGGAGTAATGGTCTCTAATTGGCTGATCTTACAATTGAGCTTGCTACTATTAGTTTTGTTTTAATTCACTCGCAATGCGGAAAAAAAGGAGATTGGCAACTAAATTTTCACAGTGGGTTGCGTTCTAATTAGATGAAATTCTAAAAAAATAGTTAAGTCTACCAAAAGTAGTTTTCTACAGAAGTGTAGTGTCGAAGAGTGCGCATTCTCCAACCCATTTTGCTAAAATTTTCATCGTTCTCCTGTAAAAATCATTCCTTTCGTTCAAGAAAAGATTATAAACAACTTCATAAATAGAAAATGTAACATTCCTTATATATTTCTTTGCTTCGACATGGTTTATTGATTTATACTTTAATTTAAATAGGCTACAAAGAATTACATAACCAAAGCCACGCGCATATGAAGAGAAAATAAAATAAGGAATGATATATATTAGTTTTCCTCTATGCATAAAAGTCATTTCATTCAAAGTCGTACATTCATAGTTAGTGATTCTACGTGATTGTTATTCGTGCTCTTATCGAATTTCATTGTTGGTAGTATAACTATCGATATAATTGTAAGTATTTAAATTGGTGTTATTTATGTTTAATTATTGTGAATACTCTTTGGAAATGTCTTTGTTTTCTCATCTGTATGTGTCTATTGCCGATTTTTCACAAAAAGGAGGTCATAGTCGTCGGCATATCGTAAGTTGATATGTTTTTTTCCTCGTCGAGAATGAGTACTATTGTTTTTTTTATTGGACATTCATAAACAAAAGAATTAACTTATAACATACAAAACAAAGATAGAATTGAAGCTATAAAAAGAACGATGAGAGATGAAATGTCAGAGTTCAATTTAAAAGCATTAGCAATGGCTATTGATTTATTCATCGAACAGGTTTGTTATCTACTGTTTAGAAAATATTGTGAGGCAGTTGTTTTCAAGCGCCTTTGCTCGTTAGAATAATTGGTAGTCTTTTTATTTTCTATACTTGACTAAGAGAAATCTGATAATTGTTTTTCGGTTTTAGCTTCTACAAGTTAAAAATCAAGAAATCGACACCAGAAAACAACTTAATGAAGCTCGTGAAACATTATATAACTGTTCAGCTGTCGACAATAAGGCACAATGGATGATTTATTTAGACCAGGTTGGTACATTGATGATAAGATTGGATCACATTGAAGAAGAATTACGCAAACTGGAACGTAAGGTTTTCTTTCTTTCAATCATTTTTTTTTATTTGTTTCTTTCTAGATGAACATGTCGTGCGTCATGGAGTCTTGCCGTATTGATAAAAAGAACGTTTTGTCCGAAAAAACTATTTTTTGCCTAGAAACAGATACTTTTGTTTGAGGAAAAGATTTTTTGTTCGAAAAAGAAAAGATTTTTGTTTGAAAAAAAAGATTTTTGTATGAAAAAAAAGATTTTTTTGTATGAAAAATAAAAGATTTTTTTGAAAAAGAAGATTTTTTTGTATGAAAAATAAAAGATTTTTTTGAAAAAGAAGATTTTTTTGTTTGAGAAAAAGTTTGCTTATTAACTACAACATATAAAATAAAAGAATGTTCAATTTGAATCTTTATTACTAATATTCGAATTGTGCACTTTTAAATAGAATACAAGCAGTTTTGAACCAGAATAATAATGATGATAACAATGAGAGAAAAAAAGAAGATGTTTCGAATGAAATTTATTTTACAATAATTGTTGCTCATGTTGTAGCAATTTAAATAAATGATTTTGAATGTATCATTGGCAACATAAATATTCTATGAAATATTCTATGTGACTGTTCATATTCTTTTAAATTCTCATAAGTGTTACCAGAAAAGAATACCTTTGAAAGTATGAAATTAATGCATAATGTATTTACTTTTTTTAATAATAATAATTTGTTCTTCGTTCTCAGTTTTTATGTTAACAGAAAATTTTTTCTTTGTTTATTTTTAATACGACCTTTTCCAATTTGCACTATAACTGAATAATAACACCAGATCATATTAAAGTGTTTTTCATTATTCTTCCTGCCAACACGTCTAAAAGTAGTGTTCGGACATAGTTTCATTAGTTTTGACAATACAGAATCTTTACTTGTGTACTATTTACAATTGTCTAACGACTAACTCTGAATTCAACATCATGAAAACAGACAAAGTATATTGATAAAAAAGCAACACAGCATGTAATGACGATGTATAGCTTTTATAATTATACGAATCAGAATTCGACACAGGTCAGATATTCGTGACTTGACCTGTGTCGAACGTTGATGCTCATTTCTTTCGTGTCATATTTGAACGTGCAGTTCTCATAAAAAAAATATGACAATGCCATAAAATTTGATTAAAATAGTACGATTTAAAACATAATCTTGCCTTGATTAATAATCGTATGAAATTTCAATTGAATTTTATTTTTAAATAGTACGTTTGTCTCGATTTACTTAACTTTTGTTCCAGTTGTTTTAATATGTAGTAATGCTAGTTATAAAAGACTTCAACAAGATATATACTTCTGTAAATGAATTTTTTGAAAGTTCCTATTTATAAAGATTACAAATAA